CATCAAGACAGTAGAAAGCTTAAAAGGATTTGGGCTGACAGGTCTTCTGTTCAAAGCTATAGGCATTTTACTGCAAATTTTAGGCTATGGCATGGTATAGGGGTGCGGATGTGTTTATACAACAAAAAGATATCCACCCTTCGTAATATTTAACTCTAATTCAGCATCAAAAACTGAATAGAAATGTATATATTCAAATATATATATATACTCATAATCTGTTCGCTTGGTAAATTCGACGGGAATTGTTCAGGCTCATGTTGATCTCTAGATCTTCCACACCGATCCGAGTTTTTTGTTTGAGAGATAAAGACAATTATTCTAGTAGATTATAATCAACATGCCTATGAGAAAACAACTTATGAAGAGTTTTTTCTAAAACACTACTTCGTTATTGAGAAAATCGAATGTTTCTATGTCAACGGAAAAATCGTACTGAAAATGGACTCATAATTCACAAGTTTGACCACTCTATTTTCATTGATGATCAAAATAAACATCATATTCAGAATCAACATGAGAAACGGACTTGAATCACATGTCCTAAAACGAAAAATATCTTTTTGTGAAAAACTTACCTATACTCCTCCCCAAGTCCTTTTTTCACAATAACTTCAGCCGTACCCTATCCGGGCTGAAATTTTGAGGGTGGGAGTATATGTATCCTCGACATAAGAATCCACAACCGAAAACAGTGGATTTAGAAAAAAAAAAATTTTCTAACCTAGTCTACCTATCAAAGAACGACCATAAGTATGGTAAAAAGAATTTTCAGTAAAACAAAGACGAATAAAAATAAAATGAATTCTCTTATTTTACTTTTCTTCAAAACAACTCCAATAGCAGAACAATCGTTCTCAGAATTAAGAGAGCAAAACAAAACCAACTTATTCGATTCATTTAAATACAATATTAGGCAATTCTCGGAATAGCAAAATGAGAAAAGTTGAATTAAATTCAGTTGTCTGATTCTAATTTTCTGATAAAACACAACTGAAATAACAAAATAACAAAGTGAAGAAAAAAACAAGCTTAGTTCTTTGCTGTTTCTCTCAGAGCAATGAAGTAAAGTACAAGCATAGTTATCAGAGAAAAAAGACATGGGATTAAGGTATTCGATTGTCTTTATAAAATGTGCGATCACTCTCAGAATAACTAAACGATAAAAGAAAAAAATAAATAAAACTACTAGAGCAATACTCGAAATAGTACAATGAAAAAAAGAAAAGGAAGGCGTCTTTTTCATTCTGTTATTTTTGTAAAAGCTTTGGCAATTATCGGAATAAGTAAAATAAGACAGAAATAAAATAAACTAACTCCTTCTGTTTTTCCGATAAAATGCACAATCATCTCGAGCATAACTAAATGATGAGAGAAAAAAATAAAAATTGAGCCAACCTATCGGGATTTTCCACAGGGTGACTCACAGCTATTCTAATCAGAGAACGGGTGCGGGTTAGTAAAACACACCCACACTCACAGTCAATTCGGAATATTGTACTCGTTGGTTTTTAAATTGACTACTGTCGAGAATTTGATCTATTTGCATCAATGCTATATCACTTATAAAACTTATTTTAATTTCTTCTTGTTGCTTTCTTAGGTAAAAACTAAAAATTATCTATGAAAGTCTTCATATGTATTTTTCTTACATGATAAGACATATACGCAATATAAGGCATCTTTACTTTTTAAAATCTTCCTCAATTCGTCTCTGCTCCTCATACGATCGGTTCAATCGTTTTAAAAAAATATAAAATATCTTTATGAAAACCCAATTTTTAATATTTTATTATTTATCTGAGAATCCTAAATGGAAATGTATAAAAAAATTCTTCAATCAAATTTAACCAATCATTCAATGCCCTTGTTATTCAGAAAAAGTTACAATAAAAATTAACATTCATTGCAGAAAAAAAAGAAATACGTACTCAGTGTATAACTATATATATGTTACCATATCTAACTACCTGCACGTATTTCGTTAATGTAAGAGAGTTGATGAAAATATGCTTTTACTTTTTTTTCATATGTTAAATAAAGTTAACATTCGTTCTGTGCGAGACGAGAAAAAAATGTAACGTACATGTTGGTTTGTCTGACTACTTGTTTTTTTCACTGAAATGAAACGAAAGCAATCTATGCATCAGTGATGAATATTATAAAAGAGGGTGACAAGTATATTTCTCTTCATATTTTTTTATTCTTTTGAATTCATTTAAATTCATAGTCAGTACATTCACTCGTTCATTTTTGGCTCCAATTATCTTTAGGCATTATTTAAAGGTAACTATGAATATACTATTTTCATTTAGTCTGCACTATTTAGATGATATTTGGTCATGTCAGAGGCGGTTACTCCGATGAAAAGCATAATTCTGATTCGTGTTCTATTTTCATTCTTGTGAATACGCAAGAAGATCAGCAGCTTACGAACAAGTCGAGAATATGGAAGGTGCCTCCTATTCTTCGAAACCTTTTTTGCACAACCCATTCTAGTGATTTGAATATTGTGTCCTACGTGTTGTACACATAAGTTACTAACAAACATGCTGATTGATTCTTACATGAAGCTTCAATTCATGTATCAGAATCGACTGCAACTTCGTCTTAGATATTCTTTACACATATGTGACGAAGAAAAATACAGAAGTTTTTTCTCTACAATATAATTTAAATAGAAGTAGATTCAGTAGTTCAAAATTGCTAGATGCTCTAAAACAGCATTCAATACTTTGTGTATTTGACACAACTCGATCAGGCAATTTTTATGATAATAATATGCCGCAGATTAAACAAAACTTTTTCGTTTGCAATCCGTAATTGCACTAAAATCTGGAATGCATAGAAGAGATTAAAGTTGGAACCACCATTCCTGATGCTATTTTGGCTAAAACATGGCACAGATGGAGCTAGTCTAGTTTCTTGAAGGTCAGTACTAGTACCAGTTTGAATAGGTTAGACCTGACATCTGAAATGATACCACTTTTGGTCATGGTTGGTAGCGATTCTCTTTTAGGACAATGTTATTTGGCATGGCTAGGTTTCAAGAAAAGCTTGTTAGTGTAGCTCCTTTGGGGCTAACATCTGGAACTCACATATCTTTTTTAGTTTGCAGTGACATAACCAATGGAGGAGCAAATGAGCAATTGCTCATCTCATTTGGAGATTTGCCCATTGTCATTTTTATGAGTAAGTTTTTGTCCATTGAAGTTTTACTTTTTCAGAATGGTTTATTTATTTTTGAATTAGATAGTAACTCTATTTTTATTCTTCCGTCCGAATCACACATGCACTTTTTACTTGTTCTTTCCGTGAACAATTAAGAAAAGAAGAAGAAAAGCATTGCTTCTGGTATTTTAACCAGGATTACCAGATGAAAAACTTGAAAATCAGAAAAAAAAATCAGAATTTTTTCTTCGAAATCGGAAACTAATCAGAAAGAGTAACTTCTTGTAAATGAAAGGTTATCGTGTTGACATACTTGCACAAAAGGGTTTACTTTTTTTCTTGTTTATCGACTCATACTTTGTTTCCAGAAATATTTCATAGTAAAGAAAGACAAGACAACCATTGTATAGCTTAGAGTGAAAGACCGTATACTGTAAGCTAAGGAGATTGGCCATAGTTGGATTAAATGAATGATCTCACTGCCAAACCAGCTAATTGAAAATATGAGCTGCCAATAGCGTACAAACATCGAAATGTTCAAGGTTCAAGAAGTTTACAGTTTGCTATGTGTCCATACTACGAGATTTCATCAACGGTTAGTTTTCTTTTTTTCGTCATGATTAGATGAAGCAGGACCATTTACATAAGAAAAAACAATATCACGCATATTAAAAAGTAAATTCTACGAAGTCTAAAACAACATTTTTCAATTATAGAGGTTATAAATAAAAAATTTTAATTGTTGTCAAATTGCTTTTGAATGTGTGTAATATTGCTTCTCCTTATGTAAACTGTTGTGTGTCCATCCAACCGTGACGAAAAAAGAAAATTAAAGGTTGATGAAATTTCGTAGTGTAGGCACATAACAAACTGTAAACTTATTGAACCTCGAACATTTCGATGTATGTACGCTATTGGCAGTTCATGTTTTTAACTAGTTGGCCTGTGAGTGAGAGCATTCATTTGATTCGTTTATGAGCAATCTCCTCAATTTGCCGTTGCATGACCTTCAATTGTTAGTTAATACAAAAAAGCTAGCAAAAGACACCTCCTAATGTCGGATTCTTTTACGAAACCCATAACTCTGTTAAGGTAATTTTAACTGTAAGTTTGAGTGAACATGAGTTCAGTTTTATTGAGAAAACATTAACCACATAAAGGTAAAGAAGGATAGATCAAAGAGAAGAGAACACACACGGATATATACACATATCTAGATATATATATATACATTTAGAGTGATGCATAGAAGAGAAAGGAAAAACCAAGATGTGAAATGATGTAGTTCATAGAGAAAATGTCTGTGTGTGCTGCGCAGATACATATTTGAAGAATCCTCAACACTAACTTATGCATGTTTTCGTTTTTACGTTATTAGTACTTTGTTGGGTCAAAAAAGTTTTGGCCTATCAATAAAAAACTTGCCCATTTCGCCCATTGGTCTAGAAATCATGGTTACACCACTGTTTCTAAGGTCTTATTGTAGTAAAGAAAAACCTGAAATAAATTGATATTTGTCTAACACCAGCTAGATCCTAATAGAGTCCAATTTTTTAACGTTCCTTTGTTCGCTTTTTAAAAACACTTCTCCGAAAAATCCTCAAATTCGTAGCGAAAAAATCGCTAATTAAAACCAAAGATCTAAGTTTTTTATTTAAACAAAAGAGAAATTCAAAATCTAGCTGTACGTGTGAAGTCGAGTGTTCGAGAATAAAAAATCACACCTACACCCACACCCTCTGTTGAAATTCGAAATGTCCGTATGTTACACAAATAAAATATCGTATATTGTTTTAGAGACGTGAAACAACAAAGACTGTATAAGAAGTATGATAACACGAATAATATTGTTGGGCAGTGCTGTGCTATTGGCTTATGGTATCCATCGTTTTTGGGCTTTACTACCTATAACTAGTGGATATGGATCTAAATACATTTGTTCAGCCGTATTTATAGGCGATCATAATGAAGAACAACGTAAAGAAGATCTTGATTTTCCTTCTATGAAATATGTAACGTATAATATAAATTATACTGATTCCTCGGTAAGTAGTTCTGTATTTGGATTTGCTCAAACAAAAGCAATCTGTCGAAATGGACTTGGTGCAACATTAATTAATGAATTAACAGAAGAACAAATTCGTAGTCAAACATTCAATTTAGCAATATCATCTGATATAAATCAAGATGATATTCCATGGCCTATGGGTAATAAAATAGATGATCAGAGTATGCCATCAAATATCAATCAATCAAAATTAGAAAATGCTATTAACAATATGTTTATTGAAAAATATTCAAATAATCTTATTCGTACACGAGCTATTGTTGTTTTATATGATGGAAAACTAATAGCCGAAAAATATGCTTCAGGTTTTTCAAAAAATTCAAAACTTTTAGGTTGGAGCATGACAAAAAGTATAATTAATGCACTTATTGGAATTTTAGTGAAAGATAATAAATTAAATATCGATGATTTTGCTCCCGTACCTGAATGGAATAATCCTAATGATCCTCGTCATTCAATTACATTAAAAAATTTATTACAACAGACAAGTGGTTTAGATTTTATCGAAAATTATCATACAAAAAGTGATGTGACACAAATGTTATATCAAAGTGGTGATATGGCTGCATTTGCTGCTTCACGTACATTAAAATTTAAACCAGGTACTCATTGGTATTATACAAGTGGAAATACGAATCTATTATCACGAATTATTCGTCATACAATTGGAGAAAATGAATATCATTCATTTCCTTATCGAAAATTATTTTCTAAACTTGGTATGAATAGTTTTATTATGGAAGTTGATGCATCAGGAACTTTTGTTGGTTCATCTTATTCATGGGGCACTGCTCGTGATTGGACTCGATTTGGTTTATTATATTTAAATAATGGATATTATAATAATGAA